TGACGCAATATTTACACTGAAGCTCGCAGGCGGCTATGGTAAGGGGTGTGACATTTTCCTGATTTTCAGTGACTTGCCACCACCTGCTGGAGGATTTAGTTTAATTTTTAGCGTATAATTTCAGTTATTTAAATACAGAAATATGATTGAAATATGAAACTAAATCCGCCAGCAGGTGGCGGCAAGTCACTGATTTTATCACTGAATCATTAATTCAATTGATTCGTTCGAACGGCTGAATAATTCAGGAATGAATCAAGTGACTCTCTTTATGAACTGACGGAACACTTTAATCCCTGAAAATGCCTTGTTTACTGAAAAACTGAAGTGAATCTATGCTTAAAACATGAACAAATATCTGTCAGTGCGGTCAGAGAAATAATCTTGTTTTCCCTTTAAATTAAGTTGATTTTTCTGACCCCCCCGACGCTTTTTTTTTCTTGTTTTAAGCATAAACTCATCAAAAAAAAAAATTTGTATACAATAAAAAAAAAAAAAAAGAATATCTTAACTCCAGTACGAATATCCAAACATTCAATTCAAATCACTTTTCATGATAAATACTGTTTCAAAGCAGCTTTACAGACAATGCTTTCTAAATTACAATTAAGAGTGGTCTTAAATCAAGATACATTTACTTCAGAAGCAAAATGTCTTGTTTTCTGAAATATTGATCAAAATGAAGTGAGTTTATGCTTAAAACCTGACGATGAGTTCAGCAAAATAAGCTCATTTTGAATGAAGTAGATTTTTCTGAGCCCACTGGCAGATGTTTATTCTTGTTTTAATGATAAACTCACTTCATTTTGATCAATATTTCAGAAAACAAGACATTTTGCTTCTGAAGTAAATGTATCTTGATTTAAGACCACTCTTAATTGTAATTTAGAAAGCATTGTCTGTAAAGCTGCTTTGAAACAGTATTTATCATGAAAAGTGATTTGAATTGAATGTTTGGATATTCGTACTGGAGTTAAGATATTCTTTTTTTTTTTTTTTATTGTATACAAATTTTTTTTTTTGATGAGTTTATGCTTAAAACAAGAAAAAAAAAGCGTCGGGGGGGTCAGAAAAATCAACTTAATTTAAAGGGAAAACAAGATTATTTCTCTGACCGCACTGACAGATATTTGTTCATGTTTTAAGCATAGATTCACTTCAGTTTTTCAGTAAACAAGGCATTTTCAGGGATTAAAGTGTTCCGTCAGTTCATAAAGAGAGTCACTTGATTCATTCCTGAATGAATCAGCCGTTCGAACGAATCAATTGAATGAATGATTCAGTGATAAAATCAGTGACTTGTCGCCACCTGCTGGCGGATTTAGTTTCATTTTTAGCGTTTTTATTTATTTTTTCCTTAATAAGAAGTAGAATAAGACAAATAAGTTACAAATCAAATGAAATTAGTATTAATAAATTAATTTATACTACAGAGGTGGCACAGAAGACCACAAAAGTGGCTTG